CCCCAAAACCCCAAAACCCCAAAACCCCAAAACCCCAAAACCCCAAAACCCCAAAACCCCTTCCTCACCACATAAAATTGAATCAATAATGGCACCAAAAATGTGCCATTGTGGAGCCTAATCTTTACCTAGGATGATGCATAATTTTATTATAATTTTAATCAGTAGATGAGATGAAAGCCTCTGATACTTCAATCACATCTTCGAGATAGTCTTCAATCCTATTACCGATTAGGAAGGACATGTGAGAGAACCTAGAAGTTGTTGAAGGAAGTTAATACAAAAGAAGAAATGTGAATGGGAAGAAGAATTAGCTTACTCTTCATAAACATGATCAAATACAACATTAGCATCAAGTCTTTCTCTCATCCAGTCTTGGTCTGGCCCGGTTATTACATTATCCTCTTCTCCGAACATGAGAGCAATAGGAACATTGATATTCCCTAATGGGATTTCTGGAGGAATATCTGCTCCGTAAATTTGATTATTTTCTTCAGGCCCATAATCAAAATAAGTTAGGTCATTTAATCTTACGCTTTGAAGTAAATGCTGTAAAGCTTTAATTCCTAGTCCGAACTGAGTTCGAGCTAAGAGAATGTTGACACCATCTTGGTCTTCAAGAGATTGGTCTGGTTGATCAATTAATATTCCCATTATAAACTGAGAGAATCCTGGGAATATAGTTCCTAGCATATAAGTTATTTGACTTAAAGCCCGATTATCATCTCTGCAAACATTTATTCCAATGTTCCTCATTGTCTGAAGTACTTGAGGATACATGCCTAGTTTTGAGAAGAGTAAAGACTGGGTGTTAGCCATGTTTAGGGCTGGAGACACAAAAATGGCTACTGAGATTCTTTGCTCAAAAAATTCAGGTTCTAGTGCTAAAGCAATACCCAGGGTTGCTCCACCAAAGGAAATGGCTAGAGCTGGAAGGTTTGTATATCCAGTGGTTTCTAATATAAATTCAACACATGCCATGTGATCAAACCTTATTGTGTCCATTGTGAAATCCCAATATTCATCATCTGAGGCTGGGTCAAGGCTTACATGTTCTCTACTGAATGTGTTGCCTCTCACGTTGTAAAGCCATACATCTTTCCCATTGTCAGCAAGGTAAAATGCAGGTGAATAAGCAGCTCCAAGTCTAGTGTAACTTTCTCCAGAGTCAAAAACTGGATGAATCATTAATATCGGAGGTTTAGAAGAAGGTGGGCTATTAGGTCCAGAGGGGATTCTCATTAGTGTCAAAATATATCCATCCTGAGTAGTCACCCTATACTCTTCATATTCAAAGCCTAGTTCTTCAGCTCTTTGCTGCACATCCATGCTCCAATAACTACCTCCTTGGCTCCTCACTAACACAGCTATTAGTGCTAGTACTAAAAGTTTCATTATTCAATTAATTATAGCATAAGGGGTTTTGGGGTTTTGGGGTTTTGGGGTTTTGGGG